AGAGTTTCAATTCAATTCATTACATTGTTTTAAGGCATAACCCCGGCAGTGCCACAAGCTTCGTTTAGTCAAAGAAAAAAAAAAGATTTACGGTCGAAATCATCTTTGATTATTTCACGACCCGGCTGCGGGAGGACTTTTTAAAATCACACGGAACGGACTGAAGTTAAAATCAACTACAACTCATGGAATCCAAAGAAAATGTATTTTCTCTTTCATTTTGGAGCCGTTTTCTTTTGTTTTATTTTTATTCGTCCGAAAGTCAAAGGCAACGAAGCCTATACAGCCAAATCTTTTGTAGCGAAAGACCGAAGCCATGTCTGTTTAATGAAAACTGTAATGGAATATTGATTAATGAACGGAAAAAAAATGTATAAAATTGGCTGTGTGGCATTAAGAACTTTATGTTAGGCAGGTTTTTCTTTTTATTTTTTTATTGCTTAGATCAGTCTTTCTCAAAGTGGGCGATAACGCCCCCTGGGGGGCGTTTGAAACCTAGAGGGGGGCGTTAAGGGGTCCAGGAAAAAATGGGGGGCGTTGATGTGGGTTAAGGGGGCGCTGTAAAATTTGTAATTTCATTTACTTTATAGTATTTAAAATTTTACTAAAATTAAAACTCACCTACTACACAGTAACGAATAATTAGTTTATATTTCTGCCCTGTATGATGTTATAAAAACTTAAAATAATTAACATAGATTTCGTAGGACAGCCCACACACCGTACACAATCAAGTTGTAACAAGTTTCTGCGGAACATGATCGATGATAGTTAAAAAATTACAGCAATTTTACCTTAATTACATTGCGCCAGAAATTATTTTAAACATTAGAAAAAAAAAATACCATGCAGAGTTTTAAAATATTACACATACGTAAACTAATACAAGTTGAGGTTTTCTTTACTTTCTTTCTTGTTTTTAACATTAGGGCATTTTAGAGCATTTTCCTAGCATGTTGTAAGAAATTACTGATGTAAGAATCATAATTTTTATATAAAAGGGAAATGCGTATATAATTATTGTTCAAAAACTTGTCTTAGATTATTATTTTTTACAATTTACCCATTACCGTCCAATGTCAAATAGTATAGTATAGTAAGCCTAAACAGCTCACTTATTGTAAACATTGTTTACTATTTTATTTCTATATAATAATAGATTGGGGAAAAAGTTCCTTCGCATTTTTTTAGAAAATTCACAACATTTTTTAATATAATTTATTCACATTTAACTAAAGTATGTCGGTACCATTTTGTTCGATAGCTTTTTGCCATCTTGTAGGTAGGGACATGATCCCATTGCTATAGAAATTTTGGGGCTTCTGATCAAAATAACGAGACAATTGGTTTTGGCAGTCTTCTCGTGATGTTAACCTGACACTGCCTAAAGAATTCTGAAGAGACCGAAACAGGTAGAAATCTGAAGGTGCAAGGTCAGAACTATATGGCGGATGCATTAACACCTCCCAGCCAAGCTCTCTTAATTTTTAAGAGTTAACCCGGGTTTCACCAGAGTCTGTGAAGCCTGACCGGCCTTTGACCACAACCTTTCTCGTACGTTCTTGTCGTACGTGATCCACTTTTCATCACCAGTTATCAGCTTCTTCAAAAATGGTTCGGTTTCATTACGTCGTAATAAAGAATCACAAATTAGTATACGGTTCATTAGGATTCTTTCAGTGAGCTTTTTTGTGTACCCAGTTTTTTTCAAATGCGCCATAACTATTTTGTGGTCAATTCCCAGTTCTTCAGTTACGTTGTAACTACTGATATCCCGATCTTGCCCCACTTTTTCAAAAATGGCATCGATTTTATCCGTAATAAGGCGACCAGAGCGACGTGCATTTTTGACATCAAAATTTCCGGATTGAAAACGCTTAAACCAAATTTGTGCTACTCTCACAGACACTGCACTAGGTCCATAAACATCGCAAACTTTTTTCACGGCTTGCGTTGCTTTTTTACTTTTTTGTAGCAAAATTTTCAAATGTATCGAATTAGATTCACTCATCTTGACAGTACGAAAAATAAATAAAAATCACACATCTTCCTAATTTTAATTTGGAATTATCTTCTTTCGAATTTAAACTTTTAATAATACCAAAACCAGCCAGATACAAATAGTATAGCCAAAGAGATTTTATTACAAGTTCATACATTTTTAAGCTATTGCATAGCTTTTATCGCGGTCCTTGAGCGCGGCGACCGAATCATGAAATTCCGTAACGAAAAAAACCTAACACCCCTCACTCCGCCTACCATGTAGCTCGCGTTCAACACATTCACACGTTGCGCTTGTGTAGTGTTTATGAATAAGCGCGTGGCGTGATGTCACACTGCATGCGTATCATAAAAATTCTGCCCATCTCTCTCTCGCGCGCTTTAGCTTATGAGTGTGAAGGGGACAGTTAAGGTTTTGCCTTTATTAAGGTTTAATATAGCGTGGCCTTGTTTTATTATTGTTTTAATATTAAATTATCATTGTCTAATTATAATGTCATAAGTTGATAAAAAATGCTATGCAACAGCTTTACCGCCGCAGTTCCCAAGTGCCACACTTTTTTTTTGTCAGGTGGAAATCGCCGGACTTCCGCCTTTCACTGGGGATGGAGGGCGGCACATGTCGGAATCGAACCGACTAAAACTCCCTGTCGCTCAACAACCAGCATCCAAACCTCGCATGAGACAGAGCTCATGAAAAGGCAAAGGGGGAAAGTGAAGTGTTTAGTGCGGAGCACATCTCTCCCATCACCCTCCCCCTCGGGACGCCGGACTGGCGGTCGTCGGCGCCACAACCACCAGCCCTCTCGGTCGGCAGGCTGTCCGAAGCCCGCCTAGATGGCGCCGGTTAGAATGGTCTATCCTACGGAATACCCCGCTGGGTCAGAACCAGGGTGGGTTGGGGATAGCCGGCCTTCCATCACCCGGATGCTCATACGTAAAACGTATGCAGAGCAGCTTGCACGTCGTCTTCTTAGGCCCCCTTCGCCGGTCCCCAGGCCGACATGTGAGGGAGACCCGAAACACTTAGGAGGGCCAGGGCTTGGGCGAGATCNCACTACTTTTATTTTTATATATAGTTTTAATTTATTTATTTATTTAGTTGCACCAACAAAGTGATCATCAATAAAAAAAATTGAAAAACTGACAAAAGTACATGGCAGACATCACCTCAATTATAGGTGCAATCGACAGTGCTGATATTTCTATCTGGGTTAAGAGATTAGGTGTGTCGGTTATTCCATGGATTAATCAGATGAATACCTCCACTCTGAACAAATATTAAATATTTTATTATGTATTACTTAGACATTTTTGTCCACCTTGAGATTTCATTGATCTTGTTACGTGTCTCTGCAAAATCGACTTACTTATATTAAATTGCTTATCTATTTCAACTAAAGACTTATTCCCAATTTCGCTTCGAATAAACCAGATTTTTACCAACAAATTTAAAAAATATTGTTATAACTACATAGACAACCCTACAAACCTGTACCTATTTATACTTAGGTCGTTTTCATTTCACGTATTCTCATCCCAAATGACCCCTTTTTCGTTGTTATTTGTACCTAAGACGTCCCCAATATCCCCAAAAACAACAGATTTTTACATATATTTTTATTTAATCAAATACATTAAAACCAATAACAACTGAGACTTACCTTTAATATATATGCTGGTTCAAACACTAAATAACGTTTATAAATCTTAATTGTCTTCTATTATTATTAAATAAATAAAAGAGAGCAAAGTTTCTAGCACTAAAATAATTACCACCACAGGAAGTTAATTTGAAACGCGATTTTTTATAAGTTAGCAGCTATTATCATGCATATTCAGAGTTGTTTTGTGAACTTTCCACATTCTACTATTAAACTACAAAAAATGGAAGATTTTGCAACGAATATAAAACTTATATTGAGCGTCGAAAGATTTTCCCGGTTTTTTCCCGATTCGCCTCTCAATCCCTAATCGCCCCATTTTACCGGTAATTCACACAACTTTTTTTTTCTTCTTCGTTTGGCTATAGTGTTTACTTTTTGCCAATGACGTAAATCAAAAGATTGGGAAACCAAGTTAAAATAGGATACGAAACACGAGAAACGATCAGATAAGTAGGAAGAAGTTTGAAACGGATAATAAAAATTTCATAAATATACATAAATACACTTACAAATCAAATATTTAAACTTTAATATGGTTCTGAAGGATGAAAAATGACAATATTTTATAAAATATACAGGGATACATAATTATACAGGATATACAGGTAGGAAAAGGAACATTAAGAGATATTAGATCATTTAGGAATGAGGAGCGGTCGTATAGAGGACATGAAAAGAAAATGTGATCTAGATCACATTTACCGGATTCACAACATGCAAACATGACCCAAACGCATTCTTATGATAGAAGAACATACTAGCTTATTGCATTTGGCACGGAAAAACCAAGGCTTAAATGAAAAGCTTATAGTTCATCGACTTTTTATTTTAAAATTCTATCAATTGGTTTCTTTCGATGCCATTGTCGCCAGTGTTTTCATTGTGGGCTCAGTGAATTTGGCCCCCTTTTTTTTGATTTTCGGATTTTTAATTTTTAATTATTTGTTCGTCGTTTGTTCGTTAATGTTCGAATGTAAAAATGGTTTGTTCGTCTTTTGTCTATTTATAATTAATTAAACAAATGTACACCCTAAAGTGGGCCCCTCTTACTAGATATCTTTATTTTTATCGCTCAGATTAGTTAATTTGGATAATTTGAAATAATTAGACAGTATAAACGCACTTGTTAACAAAACGCTAACAAACGTTAACATTCGTACATTAACGAACAAACGACGAACAAATAATTAAAAATTAAAAAACCCGAAAACAAAAAAAAGGCGGACAAATTCAGTAAGCTCGAAAGAGCATAGATAAGATACTTAATATTTGAGACCAAAGAGTAGGTTTATGTACAGTATGCTACATAGATTATACACTAGGAATGCAATGCCTAAATACATACTTTAAACATAATTTTTAATTTAATATTTTTCAGTTCACAGATCAAGTGCGGTGATTTTTGGTTGCTTAAAATAATTATAATCAATTAAAAGCAATAAGGACTTACTTAAATCATACATCAATAATTATGTACAGTGTCTTGTATTATAGATTTGAATTATAAAAAAATGTTTTAAAAGTATAATTTTATTATTATATGACTATCGATTGTACGATAATGGCAGGTTTCGGAGATCATTCCGGTTATAACCGACCGTTTGGTTTAGATCCTAATCGAGAAACGAATGATTTATACGATACCCGTTACCAGCAGATTTATGGGTACCATACTCCAATTACTGAAGAGTTTCAAGGACCACCTCTTGTTATGGATGAAAACCCAGATGAAGGTAAAAATTATTTACTATTCTGTTAAATCAAATTACTTTTAAATATTCAAAATGAATTTTCTAAACAAAACGTATGACTTCTTAGTTTTGATGAAAAGAAAATAATATCAAAAGAACTTTTATTTCCCATAAGAATAACTAATCTATTTACTTTCAGATAACAATGCTTATATAACAACCGCAATAAGTGTAGCAAGTCTTATAACAGAGAATTTGTTAAGTCATCCATTCATTGTACTCAGAAGACAATGTCAGGTTCGTGTTGGTGTTTAAGATGTTGCTCAATACTATATTTATCAACTGCATAAGTGTTTCTGTCAAACTCGCCAGCTCTTAACAATGCAGATTTTAACCAAATAGTTTAAAGCAGGTGGCAGAATTGACATTGTGATTTCTATAGACTCTGTACTGAAATTATAAGCCAACATGGGTATGTACCTCTTGCCTCTTTGTGCTGTAAAGAGTGGAACATTTATTATAAAGTAAAATTGAAACGCATCTCATGTGTCAAGATATGTGGTCATATTCATGTTGCAATACCTATGGTCATTTGCCTAAGAAAAACACATATGTACATGATAATCCATGATGACACCAGCTCACCCAAACAAAAGTTGTACAAGGTGTACAAGAACCAATAAAGGATATCAACTCTCATCCTTAATCAAACTAAAAATGTTAAATATTTATTGAAGGTCCATAACAATCTAAGGAACTATCACATAGTTCCTTACACTCTGTTACCTGTAGTAGTGAGACTACACAGGAGACAAGATGTCACAACTCTCTGGAAAGGGATTGGCTCCACTTGCATTGTGAGGGGTTTGAATTTAGCTGTTGAAGATGCTGTAGCCAAGGGCACTGGTTGGCCTAAGTAAGTTTAAATTAACATTAAAGGAAAATAAATAGGCCTATAGTAGTAACTACGAGGGGAGATCTTCCAGGAAGTGGGTGTAATTGTTTGACAAATTGGTTCACTCCGAATGTTGTCCTTCAAAACTTTATATATGTCTAAGTATAAATATGAATAATGTAGTAATGTCCTAAGTTTCTTACTGGAGCCATCTATCCCATTCCATGATAGCTACCATTACTAGCTCAGGTGTACATGATTGGAACTACAATTGAATACAATAAAAGCTCTTTATGTGACATACATAAGCTGCAAATACAGAAATGGTGAATCTAGAAAAGGGCATTTACAAAGAATGTTGGGTTGGAAACCTACATATTGGCATCCTTTTTACCAATGTGTATTTAACTATGTACCACTTGGATCCGCAAATAGAGAAATCTATAGCAATGATTATAGGAATTGTGTTGCATTTTTTTAATACACAAATAGTGAAAACCCAAATGAAGAAAGTTCTAGTGAGGGGCTTTTACTGTATTACAAATTGTAATTGGTCCAATGTATGTATATCTCTAAAAATAACAATACAATAATTATGAATAAGTTTCATATTAAAATAATTGAAAGATAATTTAATAATTGGAAGAATGATAATGTATTTTTTTAAACCAATAGCAAAGTACTATCAAAATGTAGATTTCATATATAAAATATCATCATATATAAAAAAAAATATCCTTATATGGGTGGACGAGCCACCTGATGTTAAGTGGTTACTGGAGCCCATATATGTCTACAACGTAAAGGATGCCACCCATCTTGAGACATAAGTTCTTAGGTCTCACTTATAACTACGGCTGCCCCGCCCTTTAAACTGAAACGCATTACTGCTTTACGGCAGAAATAGGCAGGGTAGTGGTACTTACCTGTGCAGACTCGCAAGACGTCCTACCATCAGTAAAAAGCAAGCATGTCATATATATTTGGTGTTGTGGTTGAGCACTTTGTGCTTAATAAAGCTTTCACATATAATTTTTATGGTGCTTATACATTACCACTATGAAGAGATAAAGTAAGCCACCATTAAAAAACCTAACAGAATTCCTTATGCTCCAAAAATTACTGTTACTATTAACATATATTAATAATATATAATTAGTTATAGTCACTATATCAAATGGTAATAGTAAGTTATTTCAAATCCTTATGTATTAAACAAACTGTGTTTAGCAAAATTTGACAGTATGTAATGAAAAAGATAAATTTACAGGGAGGTGAACAAGTGCAATTCTGTTTTGCAATTTGTCCAGCACATAGCTCTAAAAAGGTAATGTAATATGATTATTTGCTAATATTGATTAAAGTACAATTTTTGAAACGAAGCTCCTTATGAGACGATGCGGAAGGGTACCCTAACCGAGAAAAACGTCCGTAACGTAAGATTTTTATTAGTAATGCACACAGTGTACGACTTAACTTAGTAATAACGTACAAAAAATAACATATTATTTTATCATTCATTGACCACGATCTCAGAGAGTTCGTTTGCGCAATACACTAACTCTTATGCAAACAACCGTGAATGAAGTGTACCACAATAATTTCGCACGTTACCGAATGACCGTGGGTTGTTGCGAAACCTCCAGTTTTATTTTCTTTATACCTCAAATAGAACTTATAATTATTATTTTTATAATAAGAAACTTCGTTCCTATCCAGTGTCCCACGACACCACACATCTTTTTTTTTATTGTTTTGTAATAAATAAATATTTACTAAAAATCACATCACGTTACCCGGTCCCGTGCTAAGTTCGTAACGAACTTGTGTTACAGGTACCAGATAATGGGAATAAATGTAAGATTTTTATTATACACATGCATATATTTAATATACATCCGTAACCCTGAAAAAGACATTTTATATTCATCTTACAAATATCTTCCCTTGGCGGGATTCGAACCCGCGACCCCCTCGTATAGTGACCATGTCACTTACCACTACACCAGACGGCCGTTTATAAAACTAATAAACTTTTTTGCTTGAATATTGAAACACATTTTAGACTGGTTTTAGTTTTTTCTACTTTGTGTATCAATGTGAACTTATTGTTAGTATCAATTAGTTAAATTTTATATGGTAACTAGCTGACCCGGCAAACGTTATGTTGCCTTAATTAAGATTTCTAGGGAAATTCTAGTGTAGAAAAAAAACCTCATTCAACCATATAATACCTGATTATAACCAAAAAAATTCTCCAAAAAATAAATGTTTGGGGTGGACAACCCTTATCACTTTAGGGTATGAAAAATAGATAGTAGCCCATTCTCAGACCTACTGAACATACTATTGATACACAAATAAAACCAAAAAACATGGCTGAAAAATGTATAGTGAGTAAAACTGGAGACTGGCTTCGTTCTCACCCCTACTACGTGATGTTTGCAGGATGAGTGGTGACACCTGGCGGGGATAACTGATCGATTTATAGTTGATCAGTGTGCTTAGTGCGAGTTTTTTAACATTCTAAATATAGATAGCGTAAAAGTTTGCTCATATTTGTATGGAATGAGATCGTTTGCCTACGTTTGCCGCTAGGGGCGCTGTTCCAACTGCATACAAAATTGGTTTAACTTTTACGCTCGCGAGAACGTTAAAAAACTCGTACTAAGCACACTGTAGTCGAACGGCAAGGGCGGGAGATAAAATTGAATTTAAAAAAAAATCATAATTTAACGGAACTTGAAATTATAAACTCTGAATAAGAATTTATCGTACTACAATTTTAATATTTGATTGCCACCTTGCAACCTTATTGCGAATCTGTGCATAGAATAAAATAAAAAAAATCGGGATGGAAAAATAGGGGTTGATCGTATACGAGTGAAAATTGAGAGTAATATGATTTTTTTTATTTTAAGTCATAACAAAATAAAAATCTTGCCAAAAAAATTCAATTTTATAATTAACAAATAAAAATAGTGGTTGATCGTAGTAGGGTGAAAGATTCAGAGTAATATGAAATTTTTTATTCTAAGTCATGACAAAATAAAAACAAAATTCTTGCAAAAAAATTAAAGTTTTTAATTAACAAATAAAAAATAAGGGTTGAAGGGGTGAAAATTTAGGGTTGTGTGTAATTTTGTATGCTGTATCATGAAAAAATAAAAACAAAAAAAAATGTCTAAAAAATAAAAATTAAAATTAGGGTTGGACCCTTAAAAATAGATGTTGTCCGATTCTCCACCCTGGCCGATATGCACGCTAAGATTCACGAAAATCGGTCTAGCCGTTTCGGAGGAGTTCAATCACGCACACCGTGACACGAGAATTTTATATATTAGATATTATTTATGTTTAATTTATAAATAAATTTTAATTGTATTATTTTCAGCCTAAGTTTGGCATTAATAACTCCATTCTATTCTGCGAGCTTGGTAGAAACAGTGCAGAGTGATATCGCCAGTGACAAACCAGCTCTATTTGATGTGTTCAGAGAGGGATTTGTTCGTATACTCGAGTGGGGCACACCCAGTAAAGGACGCATGTTACCAATATGGGCAATTGTACTACCTACTGTAGCCCTAGGCGTTTCTAAATATATCTCACAGTAAGAACAAACATTTAAAAAAATAATCTATTTATTATGTTCATGATAAACATTATGTTTACATAATTTCATTTGGCATATTATGTTTTTTTTTTATTGCTAAATCGGTGGACGACCTCACAGCCCACCTGGTGTTAAGTGGTTACTGGAGCCCATAGACATCTACAACGTAAATGCGCCACCCACCTTGAGTTATAAGTTCTAAGGTCTCAAGTATAGTTACAACGGTTGCCCCACCCTTCAAACCGAAACGCATTACTGCTTCACGGCAGAAATAGGTAGGCCGGTGGTACCTACCCGCGCGGACTCACAAGAGGTCCTACCACCAGTAATTACGCAAATTATAATTTTGCTGGTTTCATTTTTATTACACGATGTTATTCCTTCACCGTGGAAGTCAATCGTGAACATTTGTCGAGTACGTTACAAAAATTGGTACCCGCCTGAGATACGAACACCGGTGCATCGCTCAACACGAATGCACCGGACGTCTTATCCCTTAGGCCACGACGACTTCTATTCTAATTCTTTAGTAGAAATGTGTTTTTTTTGTAGAAATCTAAAAAATTACAATTTTACAGTATTACACTGAGAAGTATAACTGCAAGAATACTCCGGTTCCAACAACGGCATAGGCATGAGCTGAGCGATTCATACAATTACAGCAAAAATGTACAGAATCCTCTTATAGAAGATATCAATCTGAAAGCAAACATTTTCTCATTTATTACTATGGAAATACTTTTTTATCCAGTGGAGACTATAATACATAGACTTCATATACAGGTATAAAATTATTGTCATTTCTGTTATAGTTTGCTAATTTCACTATATCATAAAGGAAATTTTGTTCAGTAGGAATAAGGCTTATTCTTATTGTTACATCTTGGATAGTTTTAAATTAGTCTGTAAAAATATAGTATTGAATGAAAACTTCATATATGTAGTGATATCAGAATGATATTTGAAATCAGTTTAAAAAAGTGATATTGAAGCTGATAAGGCCAATGCCTACTATATTTAATTAGGATTGTTTTTTTCCTTCGATGGCTAACTGTCATATCGCTAACCTGATTCTAAATGTTCTTTACATACATGATACCAAGATTTGACACTGCTTTTAAACAGTTGAGGTTATGCCCACAAGTAAATAAGATGTTTGAGTAATTAGCGGCAAAGGATTAATAATTTTACTGGTGGTAAGTCTTCCGAATCCACACATGTAGGTACCACCACCCTGCCTATTTTTGCCATGAAGGAGTAATACATTTCAGTTTTTTTTATTTATTTTTTGCCGTATAGGCAGACGAGCATACGGCCCACCTGATGGTGAGTGGTTACCGTCGTTCATGGATGTCGGCAATGCCAGGGGCAGGGCCAAGCCACTGTCAGCTGTTTAATACTCTCCACAAGCCTCGTTTGAAGAAGGAAATGTAGCAAGCTGAGGTGGCTGTTGTACTGTAAAAGTGGAGACTAGAACATGTCTCAAAGTAGGTAGTTGATCTCGGATGTCTAAGGGCTTCAGGAACCACTTAACACCAGGCAGTAATTGTGTCCGTCCATCTAAGCAATAAACTCCAGCTTGTGGAACTTTAAGTTACTACAGTTCACCTTCAGGGTTGTATAATAAAAAAAGGCATTGGCAAGCAGTCCACCCTTGCAATCACCTATTTGTTATAAAGGTGTCAATTATAAAGATTGAAATTTAAAAATGTTCATAAAAAGAGTTTTTGTTTCAGGGTACTAGAACAATCATTGATAATTTAGACACAGGAACATCAGTGACACCTATTCTAACAGGATATGAAGGTTTCATGGACTGTTATAATACAACAATAGCCCGGGAAGGAATTTCAGGGTTGTACAAAGGGTTTGGTGCGCTAGTACTGCAGCTTGTAGCTCATATTTCAATAATTAAACTCACTACAATTGTAGTTACTGAAATAACAAACCTGTTGAAGCCAGTCAAGTCTCCTACAAACTCTGATGATCATACACAACAAAAGTACTTGTTTAACTAGTCAAGTGAATGATAGTTACCCTTTTAACAGAAATTTTGGTAATCCATGCGTCAGAATGTTTTTAAAGGAACTTAATTTTGAATTTGGTGTTATATTTTGATAATTTATGTTATAGTTGAATCTTTTGTTTTTGTATTACTATTACATGGATATGCTAAGTAAATGTTTGAAATGACTGTTAATCATTTCATTTAATAAAAGTCATTTAATGTTATATCCTAATTTATTTACTACTATAATTCATCTATTCATCTAATTTTATCTAATGTGTGAGGACATGTCTCCCTTTCAATAATCTCCTCATTATAACGCGGCGACCATTTGGAGTAGACATTCTGAAATCCCATCCGTGACGGCGAACTCTTTTAACCTCATTAGGTCGTGGAAAATAGCATCTTACTTTGGTCCTAATTGAGGACAACAAAAACGCATCTGGCCTCACTAAACTCGAGCTCACTCCTGAGTAAATTGATGATTGCCTAATGAGTCTGTAAGTAAATGATAGTAATTAATACATTACATATAAATTAAATCTGTAATTGGCTCTTAAATTGGAAATATTACTTTAGGGGTTGGAGAATTGTTGAAATTAGTCCTGACATGATATTTACTGTCACTTTTTCAACCGATTCAAAACAGTGAAGACTAGATACTGTTAGATATTTTCAAATTATCATTAACAGTATTTGAGATTTAGTTTGACTTTATAGGGTTAATTTAACCTAATTTAAATACCTACATAGGTTTACTATTACTGACAGTGACGGCAGTTTTTTTTTCTTACATTTAACAATAAGACGCAACGGTAACCTAGCCCATTTTTTTAAAAACTTGAAATCCCTTTCTTTTCTAAGTAATGACGTGAGATACGATACATCACAGTAGGTAGGTGTTGGATGAGATTTACGAAGGTAGAACTAAAGAGCAAACTTTATGTATGAAAACGGGTCCTTCTAAAAGAGGCTCATTAGGGTAGCACTACCGTAGCAAGTGGTACTAATTACAAAGATGACCTTAAAAGCTATCAGACCAGGATATCGAATTAAAAAATAAGTTTTATTTAGTGGTAGTATTTTTTAGGTAATGAAAAGCAGCACTTTCCGATGCCACTATTTGGGTATGTCTTTAATAAAAGTTTTTTGCAGTCGTTTAAACATATGTGTAGGTGCTTTGTGAGTTGTATTGTTTTGAATGCAGTTTCTTGGCTTGGAGTTTTTATTGCCTTTGTAGACAGACGAGCATACTGCCACTACCTGATGGTAAGTGGTTACATCGCTCATGGACGTCATGTTAATGCCAGGGGCACAGCTAAGTTGCCGCCTGCTATTAAGTACTCTCCGCAAGCCTCGTATGAAATAGAATGTTTTGAAGTCGTCGTGGCCCAAAGGATAAGACGTCCGGTGCATTTATGTTGAGCGATGCACCGATGTTCCAATCCCAGGCGGGTACCAATTTTTCTAATGCAATACGTACTCAACAAATGTTCATGTTTGACTTTCACGGCGAAGGAATAACATCGTGTAATAAAAATCAAACCCGTAAAATTATAATTTGCGTAATTACTGGTGGTAGGATCTCTTGTGAGTCCGCGCGGGTAGGTACCACCACCTGCCTATTTCTGCGGTGAAGTAGTAATGCGTTTCGGTTTGAAGGTTGGGGCAGCCGTTATAACTATACGGAGACTTTAGAACTTGTGTCTCAAGACTCTCAAGGTACCCACCTTGCATTGCGCATTTACGTTGTAGATGTCTATGAGCTCCAGTAAACACTTAACACCAGGTGGGCTGTGTGCTCATCCACCCATCTAAGCAATAAAAAAAAAGAACATGTCATAGCGCTCGAGAAACACCGTAAAGGGGAGTTCATTCCAGAGTTGGATGGAACATGGCAAAAAGTTTGGAAATGCACTGTCGGTCAACGCAGCGGTTCCAGATAATATGAATGAGCTTTGCTCTGGTGGCAGGAGGTGTGATGGTGAAAAGGAGATAGAGGGATCATCTCGAACAATTCTTTAGAGCACTCTCCGTGGAACATATGGTACAAAGCACATAGAGAACCGAAGTCCCTCCGTAGACCCAGAGGTTCCAAGTGATCCGCGAGAGCGGGATTATCGTCAAACTCAGCGGCTCGTCTTTGTATGGAGTCAAATGGAAGTAGCTGGTACTTGGGAGTCCCGGCCCAGAGGTGGGACCAGTACTGCACGTGAAGCCGGACCAGTGCTTTGTAAATCTTTGGCCAAACGTGAAATACGGTTTATCTCTGTTGAGGACTCCCAACACTTAAGAGGCCAATTTTGGTTTACCTTCCAAATGACTGGGATACTGAACATTGCTTGAAATATCGAGTCCCAGGGTCGACAGTGCATTTTTTAGAGACGACACTGGTAGTTTAGATATTAATGAGGACGATTGTAACACGGTCTCGTCACATTTGTTTAATTTCTTCGGCTAAAGCATGTACTTTTGATATTTGTGTGTTTTTGTTTTAGCGCATCAGGTACAGAGATGTTTAGTAGGTATGGTCTTTGTTTGTTTCGTAATGAGCGCTGTAACATAAATGAGCAGTTTTAGTAATTTTTATATGATCCATTTGCATTTGTATGTTTTTGTGGATTTGTTCATGACAAAAAGTATATTAGCGTAATTTAGATTTGTAATGTGGCGATAAAATTTTGATTTTAATTATTTTGAGACTGATTAATGAAGATCTACATAAAAAGCAAAAGCATTGAGGATCTGGGGGATGCGAAAAGACAATGATATATTTGCCAAACTTCTTTCTACCTGTGCCACTAAAGTTAAATATTTTATCTGTGCTCTAAAGTTAATATGGCGGACCAAAATAACAAGGGCGCTAAAAGAATATTTTCGTTCATGAAAAGAAATATTAATGAACTTGCTTACTGATTAAATTTATTAATTGTAATGAGTGAATATTGTGATTTCAAAATAATACTGTATACATGTAAGTGCAATTTAGCCATGGAACCTAATTTCATGCGTTTAAATCGTTTTCCCACTTTTAAAGAGATTAATGTAAATAAATTTCTAATTTCAGCGTTAGAATGTCACCGATAAGAGTTAATTTTGAAATCGGACACGAAGCCACTTTAAAGCCTAAAAAGACTCCAGACGGATTCACTCATGACTGGGAAGTGTTTGTTCGCGGTCAGGAAGGTGTAGATATAAGTCATTTCATCAATAAAGTTGTGTTTCATCTTCATCACACCTTTCTGAAACCACGACGAGGTAAAAAACATTACATATAATGTTCATAATTACATTTAATTTTACCTAAAATTTTAGATAAACTTAATGTTTTGATTTATTTAATCACAAGTCAACGATTTATTTACGTTCTATTTAATGTTCTTATGTTGGCAATATTGTGCAGCTCTGAATGAATTATCGCTAATATGAATTGATGCTATTCTTTTATATTAATAAGTTTTCCTTTCTTTCAGTTGTTAAAGACCCACCATTCTCTATTAAGGAATCTGGATATGCAGGGTTCACCTTACCCATAGAAATATACTTAAAAAATAAAGATGAACCCAAAAAGATAACTTTTTCCTACAATTTAACATTACAACAAAATGGATTTCTTAAAGACCGCTATATCTTTAAAAATCCTAGTGACGAATTTAGTAAAAAGCTTCTAAAAGGAGGTGGCATACCATGTACAAATAGTGAACTTTACACTAATCCAGACCAAGAAAGTAGAAGTAGAGACTCATTTACTGATGAAAAGCACTTAGTTAGCAAACCAAAACTGTCTTCAGAAAATAATAAAAAACACAAAACAAAAGAACACAAAGATGATGTACCTATGAGGAATAGTAGTTTTGTAAATTTATTTGGGCCTCCCATACACAAACCTGCTAAAGTTTCACCTGATCCTAAGAAAATTGAAAAGGTCACACCACCAGTAAAATTAGAGAAAAAAGATAAGGAAAGATCAAGCTCAGAGAAGAAATCCAAACATGAACATAAAGAATCAAAAATAGAAAAAAACAAAACAAAAGATGAAAGAGAGAAAAATAGGCCAGATAAAGTTAAAACTCCTAGTAAAGATCAAGAGAAAATCAAAGAAAAAGCATCAAAAAGGCCCAGTGATAGACCTGCCTCACCTGATGCTGTTAAAAAGCGTTGTCTCAGTCCAATAGGACGGTCAACCAGTTCCCCACTACGTGCAAACAGTGTTGCCAGCAACAAAGAAGAATATAAACCAGCTCGTCAAAATCTTGAGCTTTTGGATCACAAAAAACCAAGGCCTGATGAAAAACACGAAATGAAAGCAGAAAAAGAAAAAAAGAAAAAAGAAAAGAAAAGTCATGACAGAGATAAAGAAAGAAAGGAAAGAAAAGATCACAAAAAAGAAAGTCACAGGTCAAAAGAATCCCCAAAAGAAATCCCTAAAGAGAAGGAACTACCTCATAAGGTCAAGGACACAATCAAAGAAAAAGAATCACCCCCCATAAAAGAGAAACAATCGAGGCCGGAGAAAACAATTAACAAATTCTCAATAGAAAACTTACGGAAAACACCTCCTCCAGAAATCGATGAACGGTCTGAAACCCCTAAAAAAGATAAAAATGAAACTGAACGAAAACATAAACATAAGAAAAAAGATAAAAAGAGAGATGAGTCAAAAGAAAAGCATAAAGACTCTAGTAAAGAAAAGAGACATAAACACGAAAAAACCAGAGAAACACCAACAGAAAAAGTTATACATAGGATAACACCTATTCCCAAAGAAAGACTACTTCCCGAACCAACATCTCCTATATCAATTGATACAGCATCTCAATGTAGTTCGAAAAGTGGAGTGGCTAAACCTATGCTTTTAGAAGGTGAGGAAATAAACAGCAGTCAATCTGATTCAGAAAATTCGGTTATATGTGAAGACGATGAACCCAAAATTGTTAAAATCGAGCCTCCCTCGCCAGAAATAGTAAAGCAAGAGCCTTCTCCTGAACCTGAGCCTCAACCAGAGCCTGAACCAGAACCAGAAGTAAAACCAGACCCACAACCTTTAGCTGAAGTTCCTCCGCCTCCACATAAAGAAAAATCAAAAAAACACAAGGATAAATCAAAAAAAGAAGAAAAAAGACGCAAAAGAAAAGCTGCTGAAGAAGAAGTTGAAAGAAAAATTCCTAACATACCTGAATCAGGGCCTTCTTACAATGAGACTGAATGGGGTGAAAGTAGTGGCTCAACGTCAATGGAAACTAAAGTTCAAGATAATGGGGTGTCTAGTAGTCTAGGAGAAGATGCAGAACTTGGGGATATTTCCCCGGATTACATGGAGCAACTTCGAGACTTACAACAAAGAATCATGAAAATAAAAAATAATGAAGATCTAGAAAGAGTCGTGAACTTAATAGCGGAAACGGGGCGCTATGAAGTCACCACTCAGACATTTGATTTTGATTTGTGTCTGTTGGATCGATCAACAGTTCAACAGCTCATACAATTAGTAGGCTGCTAATGGAGTGTTACTAAGTTTGAGAATGTTAACTTATAAAAATGAATATCTGTATTAATAATAAATTTAAGCGTTGTAAAAATACTTTATATATAAAAACATTGTAAAAAATAATGCGTTAGAAGAAATCTCAATGAATTACACTGATTGTGTTGAAGGAGCTGCATTTTATGTACATAATAATATATTTAAAATAAAAAATATTGAAAGCTCTTTATGATACACAATGTAGTTATATTATATATAACCTTAGACTTTGTGCAATATAGTTAGATTCGTAATATTATAAGACTGTTGAAACATTGTTGAAACAAATGTATATTTTGTACATTTTAATGTATTTTCTCAGTTAATGTAAGATTTGTGAGGCATCTGGACAATGATGGGGGAGGCTACATTTTAATGTTATTATAGAACTTATAGTTAAGTTATGAAGTTTTAGTTAATGCAAATTAGTTTTACATGCAATGAGTTTTTAAGCTTTTAAGGATTCAATTGATATCCATGAAATTTTATTGTATATTATTTTAAGAATACCTAATTTTATACTAATCTAAAGGTTTTCTTAGAATAGATAAGACCACTAACCAGTTCGTTATCTAATAGTGATAAACTATTTAAAAAGTTGCATTTGATTAAATCCACACAAATGTATGTGCTTCGATCAACAATAGTCAGCGAATCCGCGCCACTAACTTTTATCATATAAATTAATCATGTAACGTATAGAATACCGTTTTATTTTTTGTTAATAACATAGTTTATTTTATAGATTATGTAAGTAAACATTTAAATTTGCTTATAAAGTTTCAGTAAGTACTCATTCTTAGTTCATTGTGTTTTGTTACGTAACTTATTTTATATCCATAGTATTTTGGAAACAAGATTTACAATAAATAATACTTACACCTTACTTTTTTTTTGTTGTAATTATTTAAAACTTGCTTTAGTAGGACTAGTAGTATTCTACCAGTCCATGATTATTCCTAAACAGTTGCTGATTTACTATACAAAATTTACATAGTACAGGTGTAAATTTAACAGGGCTTAACATTCAAGATCAATAAATTATAAGTGGAGAACAACCTCAGATCATATTGCAAATATCATAGCAACGATAACTGCTTCAAATCAAGTTATCGGCACATTCGTCTGACTTCGAGTACCATTCATCATTAATTAAGTTACTAACTATAGGACAACTCTACAAGTGTCACTTCTGCAGTCTTGATAATGTCCTTCCTTTTCCCGGGAAGCTGAATCCCAGAATATTAGGTAGGTACCTAATACATGTGTTGGGGTTGTAAAGTCGAACACGTCACTGTGAATTTCTCTGTCAACGAGCTTACTGATGTTAGCCTAGACCGAGCCACGTGGGACCCAGGGATAATTACTCCACTATGTCAGAGAGTGGCCTGGCGTTATTCAATTGACACATAATATCATTCTAAGCTTACCGTCTCATATCATACTTACTTAAACATGCTAAAAATTAGGTATCTCCATCTAAATCTCAAAGAAATGTTTTAATGATCATATTGAACCTGGATGCTGTTTTATTTTTAGATCCATTTTTTCCAGTTCCAGGAAGTTCCATTTTTTTAACGTTTAACAAATACCTAAATTATGGAACAACTTTTTATTGTAATATAGATTCTGAGCTTGTTTGAATTTTTCAAATTTAACCAAACGACCAATAACTTGCGTATTTATTAAAAGCATTTTGCAATTTGCATTTTATAATCTTTTTTTGCGTACTTAACTAATAATTTTTTTAAATGGTTATCGTTGGTTTAGTGCTTGAGCGTAATAGAGCTCTTCTCTATTCGAACCGATCTGCTGTAGCAGAGTACGGGACAGGAGAGATTTCACTCTGCTCCCGTAAGTGATTCGCTTTGAAAACAGCGAAACTGCATTTGAAAAGCTATCGAAAGACAACGCTCCCTTAGATTCCGTGATAGATTTCATCATAGTCGGTTACTCTTGGCAGAGCAGTCGTGGTCATGTAGAATCCTTGTTTATTTAGCCGACGACAACTAGAAGTAGGCCTTTTTTTTTTCCTACGTTAGCCTTGAAAGGCTATTTCAGCGTAACCTTAACTAGTAGGTGAGCTCACTGGGCTTAAACCTGACGACGTTCCTAATACGAACCCTAGCAAGAGCCGTACTTCGCAGAATCTACCACCGGATCGGATACGCAACCCACTGATAAGATCCGGCGAGAAACTCAGTGGGCTGTGTCTGAGGGTTAATTTACTCGTCGAGCCCTTCGTCGCAAGCGACGGGTTCGACGAGAACGATGACCGGTGCTTGAGGTACCTAAAAGCACCATTAGTGAATCGGGAGGATCCGAAATGACGTGTTTGGGGCGACGTCGACTGCTTCCCATTCTGTCCGCAGGATCGGGAATGTAGTTACCGGCGGCCACGATGAGAGGGTTCTCGTGTCGTGCCGCTTTATCGAAGTGGAATGAAGTAGGCCGTCTTGTGGCAGGTAAAACTTGAAGCGATCGACACTATCCTGTGTTGTCTCGGCAGTAACCAATCGCTTGAATGAATAGACGCTTCATTCAAGCGATTGGTTACTATCGACTATCGAGCTTGCTTGCTTGAATTTTTTTTCTGGTCTGGGGCCGAGCCTCCTACGGGGTCCCCGCGTCTCGGGGGCTCGCGGGGTATGTAAGACTTGACGATCAGTGTGCTTAGTGCGAGTTTTTTAGCGTTCTCGATAGCGTAAGAGTTAGCTCATATTTGTATGGAATGGGATCGTTTGCCTACGTTTGCCGCTAGGGGCGCTGTTCCAACTGCATACAAAATTGGGCTAACTTTTACGCTATGGAGAACGTTAAAAAACTCGCACTAAGCATGCTGCAGATGTGGGTTAATGACAGACTCGACTTCCAACAAAAAAAATAACACAGCCTATCAGGCTATCAATTGCCTACTGTCCTTTACCCCGTTTATAGAACAGTTTTTACACCAAGCATTAATTTTGGAAATGCTGAAAATGAGGTCGGTTACCACGTTTTGGTAATACATATCGCAACAGGCGAAGTTACTCTCGTACAGAAAATAAAAGGCAATTTTATTTTTCAATGACAACGAATTTATTCTAATGAGAAATTAATTTGAATGGTGTTGTAACACACAGGCAATGAAACGGTTGAGTAGTTTGTAATCAATGTGAACTAAAAATTATAATTTTCCCAATCGTATGCTATATGAATACATTATGAATTATGAATTTATGGATGGTTATATAATGTTACACCGATATATAAACATTTATTATTGATACAATACATCAATAGAAAATTTTCCGCGCTACCTTCAATGAAAACATTATTAGTTTTTTTTTTTTTTTTGTATAGTGAATAGTGAGCGTTTTGGACGTGTCCTATCAAAACCTCGCAAGAGCTTTTTGACGTTTTATCGATATCCTCGAAGTCCATTCTTTCCATAGTGATCAAAACCGGTCTCGTGATCGACACGCGTTCACCTCTTTTTACCGTTTTTATGCGATGTCTGTCGCCATTTGCTGTAGAAATCTACGATGTTTTCTACGGAAATGCCGGCCGATTGCGCTGCGCCCATAACACTAAATTCTTTATACTGTTCTTCATCTTCATCAGCATTGCCAACGAGTAGTATAAGGACGGACGAAGACTTCCCTTGTAAAACGTTTTCAGCATCACCGGATCCTTGCGTCTTTTTATCTTCCGCTACGAAATGATTGCAGAACTCTAAAATCTGAATAAAGTTATTAATATGGGCTGGAGCTTTACGGGGATATTTCAAGAGCGGCAGGGGCTTTGACTGGTTCGGACGTTGTGCTCGCAGAAATCTTGAGCCATTCTTTAATTGAAGTTCCAACCAACGGATAGCTTTACGTGCTGTGCTCTGCTCGCGCTTCAAATTGTCCAGTTCTTGTAGCACTGAAATAATCAAGGAATTATATTACACATTGCTTAAGGTTTTCTCTTCTTTCATCCTTCATTCTTCAGTTAATCAGCAGAAGTCATTTTGATCTTACATTTCAAGATAGTGAGCAGCAAACTATTGTATTTATTATTAGCACAAGCAATTACCATCACTATAGCAGCTATATAACATCAGATGAGTCATAAACTTGAAAAAGACATATCGTCTTTTCGAATTAAAAGTGTACAATTTCCAAAAATATTCGAAATTGAGTTAATATGCGAAAACATTTGGTATCACCAGTATTTTTCTCATAAATACTGTTAAAAGAGCGTAGTTTAGTTTAGTTTTTTAGTTTATCTGTATTTGACTACTATTAAGAAAATTATTAAATAATTTTATCTTACTTTAAAAGACAGATAGTGTAACTGGTAAAAAATAAAATTAAATGTTGCAGATATGATTAATATTAAAAATATCACAAGTTAAGCCCAATACCGTCTTTACCATAAGGGCACACGGGGCCCGTGCCCAGGGCCCCCATTCTCAGGAGGCCCCGAAAGACCGACAATTTCTCTCACACGTTTATTCTCAAAACATTTTTGTCGAGCACATTACACTTTTTTCAGTAGTTAGGAGGTATTTAGAAGGCATATACTATGCCTATAATAGAAGATTTTGCTCAACAGAAATCCCGAAAGAAACCGTTATCGAAATCGTAATCAAAAAACCAGCAGCATTCTAATATCATTAATGACATTATATCATACTGTATTTGATTACGTATAACAAATGGTCATACTCAGTAAAAAAATGTTATTATAAATTGCTTTTTTTACTTTCTAAAAGGGCCTCAAATTCTTGTGTGCCCAAGGGCCCCATCCTAGCTTAAGACGTCCCTGGTTAAGCCTTTAAAACACACCTGTAAAATTAGTAAGTTTTGAGATTATATAGTTTTAATGCGAGAAGACGATATCTTACCAACTGTAGGCACCATGAGCACAAAGTTTGTTGTGAGTAGGAGCTGTTTGACACGACGGAGATGTTTGTTAAGAGCTGCGGTGTCAAGTACGAGTAATGCAGGTGCAGCAGACTGTCCGCTGCGTTCCAACTCGCGTACTTGTGATGTCAACCACAGTCGACCAAGACGCCGTAGCAATCCACTTTCATTCGACTCAGTCTACAAAATAATGCAAAAACACACAGCTGTAGTTTTAAAACAAAAACATTAATGTTAATTCAATGGAAATTAAATATACATACATTTTTCTTTGAATGCCATTCTCTACTTCTTTTATGGTTAATTTTGGTATTCAATTTAGGAGGGTGAATGTTTTTTAAATAAAACAATTTCATAGTCCTGTTAAATCTTATTCTGGGTATAATTTTAGCTATCTGGTTCCCAAAATCTATGAAGTTAAGAATCCTTATTACGTTTTCTTCATAAACAGATAATTTATACTTTTCTAAGATATTCCATTCAGCAGCATCTTTATCAAATTTACAAATGTTTGTTCCCCGTAAATTTATATCTTCTGGTAAGGGTATTGTCTTGTATTCAAGTTTCATTTTCATGACTAAATTTCTAACGTACTTTATTAATTCACAATCTTCTTTAGTCCCCTCATCAGATTTTGTATTGAAATAAAATGTAAAAATATTTAACAAATCTACAACGCATTGAAACAAGGACTCTCCGCTGTCTCCACATGAAAGAATTAAATCTTTTTCAATCAAAATCCAATCCAACAACAGCTTGATACTGGCCATGAAATTGTTTCCTTGTAAAAAAGTTTTCAATTCTATAGTGTTTACTTTGCTGATTTGCTGAGATTTTGTTGTATTACAATTCAATAAATTTGATGAATTAAGTGAATTTGTTCCTGTAATCTTTGAGGTGATATCATCATTCAATATTCTATTTGGTTCTACTTTTTCATTAGATTGTTCACTACTTTCATCTTTAGTTTCATCGTTAACTTCATCACAATCGCTAGCTTCACTAAGTGATACAGATTGATCAGAGGAATCTGACAAGTCGCTATATGAATGTTCAATTTCATCTAAATCACTGCTTTCAGTATTAGCATCACTCACATCAGAACTTTCTGAAGAGGCAATGCGTCGACGGCGACGACGTTTCATAAGTGCTTTCTTTGCATGCTTAGCATGACCATTTAGATTGTTTTCTTTTACATTGTTTTGTTTCGGCTCCTCCAATTCTTGTTCTGCATGGTGGCCATTGTTCACTGTGCTTTCTATAATTTCTTTATTTTCATCATTATTGTTCTCATATTTTTCTGTTTGTTCATTGTGTGGTTTTGACGATCCATAATTATGAATCTGCCTAGGATTTACAAAACCAATTGAATCCAATTGCTTAAGCAATTTCAACAAAAGTTGAGACAAAAGAGCAAGAGTGAAAGCTTTGCATGCAAAGGCTTTTGTTTCATCAATTTCTGTCATTTTTGAGACTGTGAATAAACAAACCAGAACCATACGATGTATTAGATTTGGATTTAAATAAGATGGAAAATTGGTTTCATGTTCCAAAATTGATAGATAATCATCATAATTTTTATCAATATCAGGAAGTGTGGCTTCATTAAACTCCATACAAATCTTTAGCTGCTGTGCGATTTTGCTGCAGCGCTGAGGAATATCAGAATCAGATTTGTTCAAGTACCATATCTCAATTAATGAAAGAAAATTCACAATTGTATTTTGTATATGTTCAACCTGAGTTAAAGTATCTGATTCATTTATTGTATGGTAAAACTGATCATTTTTCTCAAATATTTTTGTAAGATTACCCATGGCCCCTTCAAAGGGATTTTTAGAATTAAGACAGTGAATATAAAAACATACAGAATCCAAGTTATAATTTTTTTCAAGATAAAGATTTCCTAATTGATTATAAGGCATTCCCAATGTAAAGTCAGTATGAGCAGCTTGTAAGTAGTATCGAGCAGCAATTGTTGGTTCAAAGTGATTTGATATTTCCACTGCATAGCGACTTAAATCCCCTAAATATATCAAACATGAGTGCAAAGCAGATTTCCCAAAATTTGATAGTTCAACATTACCAGAAGATAGTTGCAACTCATCTTCTTCAGTATTGGGCATATAATCTAACTCCTTGAAATCTACTTTCATTTCATAATGAATTCTATCTAAGAAATGGTGAAAATTACCAATTCCACATTGGATGAGGGTGAACAGGAAATGGTCATGCTCACTATCAGTTCTCAACTTTTTGGCAGTAGATATAGTGTCATAATATACTTTTCTCCATAGTAGTTCAAGTGCTTTCTTGCCGTAATTAATTGGATCTAGAAACAGTAACTTCTCACAATTGTCCCTCAGCTTTTGTCTCTGGACTTCAATGTTAGTAGTAAAGAGGTCTGCCACAAATTTACTTGTAGTCGACATGTCATTGATACGTCTTGCTACATCACTTAAATAGCTGAAATTAGAATATTTTTAATTGATACTGGTACGGCCTGTGCTTAATATTATTTAAATTAAAACGTAGAGTGTATATTCGATACTTTATTGGCTGAATGATCATTAAATCTGGTAATCTGAATAACACTTTATTGTGAGACTGTGATTATATAAATAAATAAAAACTTGAACTACAATATTCGATATGACGTAATATCAATAATAATAACATTAATTCACATACTTAAATGTTGAGGAATAATACAATCAACTACTCTTTAGCATAGCTACGTAATTGTTTAGACATATTCTAGTTTTATTTTCTATAGGAGCGTATGTTAGAATTCATTTAATGTAACTACGTTGTAAATCATTAGCTTATTCTCAATAAGTTTATGTGTAACAACATTTTTGCTTACCGATAAAGTTTCTTGGCACGTTCATTGCGCTCCGCAATTTTGGCCTCTGATAAATCGAGACATCCGTTCTTCATTTTCAAGTCATTTTATCGTCTGACCAAAATGTTGATTTAAAAAAGAAAGTTCCTTTAACTTCAATGTGTTACTATATTAAATATGCCAACGAAAAACATTTCGTTATTATCATTTTCCTTGCATGGACATATCCGTCATTTTCATTACAGAATATATTTTACATAGGATATACAAAATATCTCTCAATTAATGAGTGTATTATCTATGCAAAATAACTACTATCTGACCTTTAAGGACTTTATAGCGGGAACGCGAGGAGTGAAGTTGTGTGATTTGTTTTATTTTGTCTATTTAGTGTTTTTTCAGGTTTAAATGTGTAATAACGGTGGTTTATTAACTGTTTAATATCTGTAAAAGTGCACAAATGTGGGAAAATGAAACAAAGCCGCTGGACACCACTTCTCGGGATCCTCCAAAAAGTCCAATGAAAAAGTCTCAGTAGATGACCACAATTTTACTGAACTTATACTTCATCCCATATCATCTCATCTCATGTCATTTCATTTCGTTTTCATTTCACTTCATGCCATGTTTCATAATAATCAACTTTCTTTTTATTTCATAATATTATTTTCATATAAAAAAGTTACGTATCATTAAAATTAAAATAAGGCTTGACCTAAAGGTCTTAGCTACCAGGTCATAAAATCAAAATATAAATAATGTTAATACATACCTGTCACTTAAGTGAAAATTGTGAAAAATAATGCTTTCTGCAAGTCACTAAAATAATTTTTTTTAGAATTTATTGCTTCTTTAATTATCTATAGGGTCATATTAAAAGGCAATCTCAACAAGAAATGGATAACCAGCCATGCATATTTTTGGGTATAAAAGTGAAACCTGGACCAATAGAACGTCACAAACTAGAGAATTTTGGACTCGAGAATACAGTAGATTCTCTTAGAACTGAAGCTGAAAAACGATCCAACGTACCATCATCGTCATTAGGTACGTTCTTGTATAAATCGTAAAATGTATTAAAAGCCTCGAAAAAATTGAATTAGACAAAGAATCACAATAGAGTGGATATACAACACTACATATCTAGATTTTCAATATTTCCATTTTCATGGCTTCGACTGATACGGATTAAACTATCAAATAAACTATAAAAATTGGGTACTTACGTATTAACGCCACTGCGGCAAAAATTTAATGGTTAGCAAGTGTGGACAACTCGAAAAATATGGAAAAGCGAATCAGAGTACCCCACTTTCCACCTGGTCTTGTCTGTCCTACCCCTAGAGTGTATATAACAAACCGGAGGCGCGGAGGGAGAGCAGTCCTCGCCCGCTGTGACGGAGCACGGAAACAGTGCGAGGCGGAGCGGCTGAGGCTTGTTGCCGCAGGCTACCAACAAGCCAAAGCTGCGAAGCGGAGCATGAGTGACCGTGCTTCGGCACGCAAAGGCGGAAGGCCTGCTCTTCCCGCAGCGCCGGAGTTAAGGCGGATTCAAACTAAAGCTCCATTTGAGTTTGACTAAATAATGCAATTTTAATAAAAAAAATTAACCGTGGATGTCTTCATAACCATGGGGTTCCACGGGGTGGGAATGGTGCAGGGAGTAAACCCTTACCCCCTCCCTCCCCCCACCCTCACCCTGACCCAAAATCGACAGACCATAAAGGAAAGTTTAATGGAATTTTTGCAGCGGTGGTGCTAATACGTAAGTACCAATAGTTGAAATGTAAAATTTGTTTTTTAAATGTGTATGACTAATGAGAAGTATAATTTTATCTACAAAGCAGATGTTTGTAGAATAATAAATAGTATAATTTATATTTGTGTTTCATGTAAAAATAAATTATTTGTTTTTACATGAAATTATTGTTCCTTTTTGTTTTTATTGGTTCGTTGCTTGCCCTAAAATTAGCCTTTTTTTAGCTCATCATTTTTTATTCTCTTTGCTTCGAGACAATATTTTTATCAACAATTCAATCTAGTTCATATTGTAGGGGAATGATACCCCGCCCCGCTTAGCTTACTATGTAGTTATTGTGTATATAGTAATGAGCAGCATACGTTAGTCAGTCAGTGGTCAACGTGCAGCGATCCACCGCTGTCACTGACGCGAATAAACATGTAATCATATTCAGTGTTTTATAGACCACTCTGATGAGGTTTATGGAGGACAACATGCAATAAACAACCAACGCACACACCTCCTCCTCCGTCTTCTCCCTATAAACCTCACAATATTATACACTCATCACCACTTGTGTGTCTCAAATTATTGTAATAGTGCAGGCAGCATTTCAGTACAGTATTGCTATAATATTTAATTACACCCCCAATTAATATCCCTGTAATAAATAAGTCAAAATGTTCAGAAACAATCTTTACAGTCGCTAATTATCTTGATGTAAAACAATTTTTTAATACCAACAGAATTAATTCACCACGGAAAAATCTTAAAAGACAAGGCAACACTTCAAGAATGTGGAGTCAAGTCTGGTGAAATGGTGCATGTTGTGAAAAAGAAGACTACCACTGCCAGTGCAGCACCTCCAACTTACACTGATGCTGAGCTGCAGCAGTTAAATGCATCACTGAGAACTCTTGGATGTACACCAAATGCACCAGGTTGGACTAGAGCTATGCAGGTCATTACACCATTTATATTGTCATTTTGTATTTATTTAAATGAGTGGAGAAGCTATCAGCTCACCTGGATTTCGCACCGTAGTTTCGGGAGACTGTGCCACAACATGACCTGTTGCCTCCTGCTTTGATTTATAAGGTTAAAGTGTCAATTGTAATTTGAAATGGCTGTCACTGGGAAATTGCATGAAATTCTCTGTTTGTTGTTCTATGCTGTACTTTGGTTGAATTATCCACCAATTGAATTTCCAGGTTGCTTATCACTATATTTAAATGTAAAAAAGTTAATTTTTAAATAAAGTCCTATATTTGCAGCTCTTAAATGATGACTCTGTTATGGCTGAGATCATAGAACAGGCCCCATCACTAGGAGAGGATTGTGTAGCTCTTTCAATATTGCACGAGGTTGAGTTATTGGCAGCTCTAGGTGCCAATCTACAAACAATGAGGCGGGGTGCCACAGCCCATCCAGAATTGCCCATAGCATTGAGACACCTCACAAATCTTGTTAGATCACGCTCTTCAACCGGATCTACTCCTGGTGATACTGGTAAGACTATTTAGGGACCAAACAAAACTGCACATCAGCTCCAACATATGAATAGAATATATTCTTTAGATATTATTATCTTCTAATATACAATAGACAAATGAAGTAAATCAACTTATTTATATTATCTACCAAAATAAATAGAAATGAATGTATATATGCATCTTTGTCCCTCTATCCACTGTCAAACTGCCTAACAGATGGCCTTGGTTGCTGATTGATGTTGGTACCTCTAGAGATGTTTTGACATACTGTCACCGGCATGCTGTAGAGGTAGTAGTTTCAAGAAAACAATGTCTTTTTATATAATCAATTTTATTAAAAGAGGGGTACATCATGTTTCAGTAGTCTAGAATATGTACTTACTTTTATTCATATTTTGTTATTAGATCTTTTGCCAGATATAATAGGACTACAATATTAACATTTCGTTAAGTCGTAAGTTTAAGTCGTCGTGGCTTAAAGGATAAGACGTCCGGTGCATTTGTATGTAGCGATGCGCCGGTGTTCGAATCCCGCTGGCGGGTACCGATTTTTCTAATGGAATACGTACTTGACAAATGTTCACGATTGACTTCCGCGGTAAAGGAATAACATTGTGTAATAAAAATCAAACCCGCAAAATTATAATTTGCGTAATTACTGGTGGTAGGACCTCTTGTGAGTCCGCGCGGGTGGGTACCACCACCCTGCCTATTTCTGCCGTGAAGCAGTAATGCGTTTCGGTTTGAAGGGTGGGGCAGCCGTTGTAACTATACTAAGACCTTAGAACTTATCTCAAGGTGGGCGGCGCATTTACGTTGTGGATGTCTATGGGCTCCAGTAACCACTTAACACCAGGTGGGCTGTGAGCTCGTCCACCCGTCTAAGAATTAAAAAAAAAAAAATTCTTGTCTTGATACACCAATCCATCACAGATAACACAGTTAACTTACACTTTCAGCACCCACATCTGGATTTGCATATTCATTGGAGGCTTTGTCTGAAGATGAAGATGGTGAAGATGAGGAGACTGATGAAAATGGTGAAAGAAACCAAATAACTCAAGAACAGTTAGCAGCAGCATTGCAGGTGAGAGACTGTGAGACAAGACTTATAGGTCCCTTAAGAACATTAATTATATTTCTCTGTCATGATGCATTGATGATTGGTGCTTTACTTCATTACTTTCTATGACAAGAGAGAGCTTTCTATTTTTCCCTACCTTTAATGTAATAGCGCATGATGTTAGATCTTGATGTTTACCTGTTACAACACTCTGATAATGAAACATAAAGGGCTGCATTTTAAATTTTGTGACATAATCAATTCCTCCAAATTGTCAGAGGGCTTTCGTGATAAATTACTAACAGTCGAAAGGCAGTTCATCACTTTGAGCTTCTTGAGGATTTAAATATCGGGGGATTCACGAAATTCCTAATAACAGTGTGTAAATAATATTTTACTCACATAAACATGAACAACTGAAAGCATTATTTATTTAATGTGATTCATATTTAAGTGGCAAGATCTTGGAGGAATTAAGGAACTTTTATTAAGTAATAGTATGTAAGTTACGGATTGTGGCAGGCGGCCACGGAAGCCGTGTCGACTCCGCGGAGCGGCGGCGGCAGTCACGAGAGCCTGCTGCGGTTGCTGCACGCCGGCGACTCCTCCCGACCGCACTCCTCCACGCAGACCTCAGGTACACACTTTTGAATACTATTCATAGTGGGTTGAGCGAACCAGTTCTGATTTAATTGTTATATTAATAAGTCTCATTATCCCCTAAAATAATTTCTCAATGTTGACAATTCATTTTGGTATTTAAATTATTCAGAAGTTTGTCTTAAATAATGACTATGATGGCAAAAAAATATATAAATAAGAAAGCCAGCTGTGTTCCTTCTTCCATGTGTTCTTTGAATTGGTGGTAGAGTTCATTTTGACTTTCAACAAGAATGCTGAAATAACACTTATGTTATTATTATTATTATTTATTACATTTACTTTGTAGATGTCTATGGACTCCAAGAACCACTTAACACCAGGCGGGCTGTGAGCTCGTCCGCCCATTTAAGCAATAAAAAAATTAAATAAAAATAAAACACCCGAATTCAAAATGATCTGTTATTATTTTCATACATATTTAACACTTGTAATACTAATATCACTTACAGGTCCCAGTCGTTCGGTTATCACTCCGGAAATGTTCAGTGAAGCTATTTCAGAAGCTATAAACAGATCCAGCAATAGACAAAGTGATGGAACACCTATGGAACAAAGTACTGCAGGTATTCATTCAGCATTCTAGTTTTGTTTAATAGTATCAGTTGAATATTCAGCTATTGTAGTCAGAGTAGTCAGAGGTTTAAAATTTTGAAGAATTTCAAATATGATAAAATTTCTTAAGCGTGACATGGTCTCATGTAGCTACCAGACAGACTCATGGAAATAATGCAAATACCATAACCACGTTTTGTTGACATTTTTGTTCAATACTATTGCTTACTTTGACAATAACAACGATTCTAGTTATGGTACATTTGTTAAATGTAATACAACGTTCAAATTATAATTTTAATTGTAGCATCTTCATCTCAAAGTCCCGGAGGAAGGGAAGATAATTTTACAACGCAATTGAACCATATGCATGAAATGGGTCTACTGGACGACGCCCTAAATGTTCGCGCCCTACTAATATGCTCCGGTAAATATGTTGCATGAACTGTCTCTGCTGAGTTAAATTTTTTTTATTGCTACTGTAAGCATACGAGCATACGGCCCACCTGATGGTGAGTGGTTACCGTCGCCCATGGACTTCAGCAATGCCAGGGGCAGAGCCAAGCCGCTGCCTACAAATAGGTTGGGGAAAAAGTTTCATCGCAATTTTTAAGAAAATTCACATTTTTAAAAAAAAATAGTTTATTTACATTTAACTAAAGTATGTAGGTATCATTTTGTTCGATAACTTTTTGCCATGTAGGTAGGGACATAATCTCATTGCTATAGAAATTTTGGGGCTTCTGATCAAAATACCGCGACAATTAGTTTTGGTAGTTCTCTCGTGATGTTAACCTGACACTGCCTAAAGAATTCTGAAGAGACCGAAATAGGTGGAAATCTGAAGGTGCAAGGTCAGGACTATACGGCGGATGCATTAACACCTCCCAGCCAAGCTCTCTTAATTTTTGCTGAGTGGCTAAAGATGTGTGAGTCTAGCGTTATCATGATGAAAAACCACACCCCTTTTGTTGATTAATTTCGGCCGCTTTCTCTCAACTTCTTGCTTTAATCTCATCAGTTGTTCGTAGTAAAGTTCAGAATCGATGGTCCTGCCTGGTGGTAATAGCTTATAATGAATAATGCCCTTCCAATCCCACCACACACACAGCATCACCTTGTTGCGAGTTAACCCGGGTTTCGCCACAGTCTCTGAAGCCTGACCGGCCTTTGACTACGACCTTTTTCGCACGTTCTTGTCGTACGTGATCCACTTTTCATCACCAGTTATCAGCTTCTTCTAAAATGGTTCGGTTTCATAACTTCGTAATAAAGAATCACAAATGAGTATACGGTTCCTTAGGTTTCGTTCAGTGAGCTTGTGAGGTACCCAAATATCGAGCTTTTTTTGTGTAACCAGTTTTTTTCAAATGCGCCAAAACTAGTTTTGTGATAAATTCCCAGTTCATCAGCTACATCGTAACTACTGATATGCCGATCTTGCTCCACTTTTTCAAAATGGCATCCATTTTATCCGTAATAGGGCGACCAGAGCGACGTGCATCTTTGACATCAAAATTTCCGTATTGAAAACGCTTAAACTAAATTTGTGCTACTCTCACAGACACTGCACTAGGTCCATAAGCAACGCAAATTTTTCTTCGCGGTTTGCGTTGCATCCTTACCTTTTTTGTAGTAAAATTTTAAAATGTATCGAATTTCTTCATTAGATTCACTCATCTTGAAAGTACGAAAAATAAATAAAAATCACATATTTTTCTTAATTTGAATTTAGAATTATCTTATTTAAAATTTAAACTTTTAATGATACCAAAACCAGCCAGATACAAACAGTATAGCCAAAGAGATTTTATTACAAGTTCATACATACTATAACGCGAAGACTTTTTCCCTAACCTATTATTTCTACATGTAACTATTTCATTTAGGCCCAAAATTTCCAGTCCCGTTTTGGGGTTTTGCCCGTTGCCATGAGATTCTAATAACTTTGAAATATACCCTATATATATAATTTTTTTTTTTTTTATTGCTTTCTTTATTAAAAAAAAAAAAAAAAAAATACACTATATATTCGAAACTTGCAATAATTTGATTTCAGGTGACGTGAATGCAGCTATAAATTTAGTTTTTAGTGGCGCCATCGGAGATGAATAATCTTCAAGGGAAACAATTGTTCTGAAATATCTACATGATTAAACATATATTGTTCTGGAAAGATAAACATTAATGAATTGATTTTGTATTATTGTAACTATTACCATATTATTAACCTTCATACATACATTTTTACAAAATAACTAGCTGACCCGGCAAACGTTGTGTTGCCTCAAATAAGATAAGATTTCTAGGGAAATTCTAATGTAGAAAAAAAAACCTCATTCAACCACATAATACCTCGTAACAAAAAAAAAATTATCTAAATATAAATGTTTGGGGTGGACAAACCCTTCACTTAGGGGTATGAAAAATAGATAGTAGCCGATTCTCAGGCCTACTGAACATACTATTGATACACAAATAAAACCAAAAAACACGGCTGAAAAATGTATAGTGAGTAAGACAGGAGACCGGCTTCGCGTCCTCACCTCTACTACGTGATGTTTGCTGGATGAGTGGTGACACCTGGCGGGGATAACTGATCGATTGATAGTTGATCACTAGTCGACCGAAAAAAATCATAATTAAAGGAACTTGAAATTATAAACTCTGAATAAGAACTTAACGTACTACAATTATAATATTTGATTGCCATCTTGCAACCTTTTTGCGGATCAGTGCAAAAAAAAAAATCGTGATGGAAAAATAGGGGTTGATCGTATAAGAGTGAAAATTGAGAGTAATATGATTTTTTTTATTTTAAGTCATGACAAAATAAATCAAAAATTCTTGCCAAAAAAATTAGAGTTTATTATTAACAAATAAAAAAAGGGGTTGATCGTAGAGGGGTGAAAAATTGAGAGTAACATCAGATTTTTTATTTTAATTCATGACAAAATAAAATTAAAATGAAAATCTTGCCAAAATAAAGTTTATAATTAACAAATAAAAAATAGGGGTTGATCGTAGAGGGGTGAAAATTTAGGGTTGTATGTATTTTTGTATGCTGTATCATAAAATAATAAAAACAAAAAAAAAAGTCTAAAACAAAAAAAAAAAATTTAGGGGTGGACCACCCTTAACATTTAAGGGGATGAAAAATAGATGTTGTCCGATTCTCCAACCTGGCCGATATGCACGCTAAGATTCACGAAAATCGGTCTAGCCGTTTCGGAGGAGTTCAATCACGCAGACCGTGACACGAGAATTTAATATAATATTAGTTTAAAATTAATAGAAAATAAGTATACAAGGATACACACAAAAAAGTACAGTTTTGATATGGTCAAATTTTTTATTTCTAAATCACTAAATAATTTATCACGGGCTGTGAAATCACTGGCAAAGTATCTTAAATAATAGTAGGTCATTAAAAAGTAGACAACATAAATATTCTGAATATTAAAATGTCACTATTAAAATAATTTACATAAGTAGTAACAATAATTATAATAGCTGTGCTTCCTAATATCAAATTACTTCAGTCTAAATTTACAGAAAGGCGGTACAAGTTATTGCAATATATAATTGTTAGGAGTCCTCAAAAACATTGCTAATCATTGAGTAAGTATATAATTAAATAACAACATTAATATTAGAATCAATAAAATTCTCTTAAATACTTGTAGGAAAATTTTAGTCAAATGATGCCATTTGATAAATGACAATTTTTCTTAAAATATATATTTGTGGAGAGTAATTCTTTAAAATTACTTTACAAACATTAAAGGGAAAAATTATATTATTATTTCATCCTTTCTATGGTAAACAAAAAAAAAGTTTTACCCAATAAGTTCAATGCCAGTCAAGTATGTTTTTATTTTTTGTTTTTGTAATTCATTTGTCGTTTATATAATTTTCTGTTTGTATTATTTGTATCCTTGGCACGACATTGTTCACGTTTATTCATACGTCGGAAGTACCAACTGGCCTTATTAGCATTGTTTTCTCCAAATAGTTCATGCTCCAGTTTCTTCCTAGCCTCTGTTCGAAAGGCTGCCCTTTTCTCATACCACTTCAATTCTTTCAGTGTCCTATTTTTATCTTTGTATTTACAACTTTTCGGTTCATTTATAACTACTTTGGTATCACTGAGTTCTCCAAAAGCATTTAAATCATGACCTTTATCAGTACTAGATGTTGGTTGCAGATATTTTTTATCTATGTCAGTAGATTGATCTAATTTCAAATTCAAATTTTCATTTTCTTGTGAACTTAAAGAAATTTCATCATAATCTTTCAAATATCCACCTTTCATTTCCCATTGTTCATATTTATTTTGTCTCTTTTGTTTTTTGTGTGACTTATGGCGATCATATTTATTTCGTTCCTTTTTTGCTTTTAGAAAAACATGCCTGTCATCTTTTAAAATTTCATAATCACTGGTTATTCTATTAAGTCCTTCATCTATTTCTTGAACCTTCTTTTTAACATTCTTCACATCGGATTTACTGATTGATGAAATTGTCTCTTCGGATTTTTTTATTGCTCCTTGAATGTTTTTTAACTGCTTTAATGAATCAGCATATGATATTCTATCTAGCGTTGGTTCAGTTAAAAGAGGAGTAGATATTTCTTGTCTATTGCTTAACTTATTTTCCAGCTGAGACTCTTTACCTTTATAATTTTTGATTTTTTTTTCAGTAATTCTATTTTCAATTTTCTCATTTTTCTCATACTTTGGCTCAGATTCTTCTCTAACAGTATTCAGAACTGCCACCTTTATTTCTTTCCTAAATTTCTGATGCATTTGTGCTTCATTTTTTAATCTTTTAGCAATCTCATCATCAAGCCAACTCTTGTTTTGCATATAGACATTTTTCAATTTATTAATATCATTTAAAAAATCTCTTTCATACTCAGGTAGTGATGGTTTATTTGGTGTATCTAAACCAGTATTGAAATATTCATCAACACATTTAGTAATTTTTTCAACATGTCTATTGTTTAATGATTCCTCATAAACTTTTTGGCATCGTTCGTGATGTATTGCAGATTTGCTCGACAGAGGTTTTTTTTGTAAATTTAAGGTCCCTGTTAATTCTTTTAGTTTATTTCTCAAATATGCATTTTCCTCTTGTAATTTATACAGGTTAGATAGAATTTTGTTCACTGATACCGGTATTGTGTTTGTAGAGCATTCATTTTTTGCACCCCACATATGACCGATAGCGACTCCAGCAGCTGTAATGACACTACCCAACATTATAATATTTAGAACAGTACTCAATCTTTTGTTTCTTCTGTGAACGTATGTTTTGTGCTTATTATTATCACCTAAAAAATCATATTCATGTTTTGCTTCATCATGATCACTACTATTGGTTGAAATAGGTGTAATTGAAATATATTGATTTGTGAAATCTTTCAATTCTGATTCTGATAAAAACTGCTGCTGGTCATTATTGGGTTCAAAAGCTGTGTCTTGTTCACAATCACTAATAATAGATATACCATCTGTATCTTCGTCTTTGTCTGTGTTGCTGTCAACTGCTTGCCTGTTCAACAATACATTTTTGGATATTATTTAAGAAATAAAGATACTTAGATGAAGATATGATCAAAGGAGGTAAAATTCATGTAAAATCTCTATGCAGCACGATAAGAGGACATGGCGTACTGACCCTAGATTATGTGGGATGAGGGCAAGAAAGCTTTAAATAAGTTATACAACATGTCGCGGAAAGGGAATATGGAGCCCAAAACTGTAGATAGTGTTCAGTTGAAATAGCAGACTCAAAGAAAGTTAAAAAAAAAATACTGTACTGTTTAAATTTCAATTTTTCTACTTTACTGTACTCATATTAAGAACATTTGAACCTTGATCTGATTTACACAAAAAATAATCAACCAACATTAAATCACAACTACAGGTATACTTATACGCAGAAACAACTGTTTGGATTATTATTTGTTTCTTCTTTTGAACAACTAATATGAAGTTTTCATCATACTTGAATACATCGTGTGATCACTGTAAATTGGATCATCAGTTTTTTAGATGGAAGGAGCATATTGTTGACAAAAGCTGCTCTATTACATTGATCATTAACACGTTGCCTGTCCGTGCATTATATATAATGCATTTTTGGTCCAGCTGTGACATTCGTGCATTATATGTAATGCACGGTATTCTAGCTGACACGTCTGTGCATTAAAACTAATGCATGCATGAAATTCAGTATTTTAGTTGTTTTTGAAAGTGTTTTTTGAAAAGCACTTACATGTACTTCATAAGTACATAAAATGAAATAGTTAAGCCGAAAAAAAAATATGGGCATCACGGGTACTTAACCAAAATACTCTGGACAGGCAATGTGTTAACACTCATGTTCATAAAGTTTAGCGCTCGCTCCAATGTGTTTCATCTTGCATATTAATGATATGCTATCAATTAATAGGATGCATTGCTTTGCTGTACTTGATTTGCACAAGACACTGGCCATCAGCTCCTCTCAGAGAAGAAGTGATAAAAAAATTGGAGAACTCTCTGGAGAAGATCTCTGAATGCAGTGGATTGAATTAAGTTCAATTAACATTGTACAGTCAGCCAGAGTTGAATTCATTGATACTACCTAGCACTGCTGCATTTCTACAAAGTGTTTTTAAATAACTTATTATGTTATATTATTTTATTTGTGCATAATAATATGCAATAAAATTAAACTAACTCCTTTCAGAGTATGTCACACAAGGTTTATTTATACCACCACAAAGGGGCAACGCAAAGTCGCTGTCGCCCGAAACAACAAGAGTTTGATGAGCAAATTAACCCATAGACACAGTCTACAGAGTTTCTCGCCAGATCTTGTCAGTGGGTCGCGATTCCGATCTAGTGGTAGATTCTGCGAAGCACTACTCTTGCTAGGGCTAGTGTTAGCAAATTCTCTCAGGCTGAGCCTGTCAGCTCACCTACCCATCTGGGCACAGCTGGAATAGCCTCATAGGCTACCATGGGATAGGTAGGGGAAAAAAACAAGTTTTAAATTCTGGTTTGGTAAATAATTTAGATTTACAAGATTATAATTGAGACTTACCAAAGTTGTGCCATATAAATTGTGGTGTCTATGGGTTCTAGTAATTGCCTAACATGGGAAAAAAACTTGTTTACTCACTCCCCTCCTCGTTCTTCTTCATGTATTCCATACTTTTGACTATTTAATTGAAAAATAGACCAGTGATATTTTTATAAAAAGAGACCCTCATTTCCTTTAATTTAAAGTATATATGTATATATGGCAGAACGGTTAATAAACATTTGTACAGCTGTCGCCGAAAATATAATTGCGCAGTTGAAAATTAATCTACAGAATATAAGTAGGTACCTTTCAGAATTAAAATTTTTCAAGATAACCGGAGCATCTTCTCCACACGCCGAAGAATTTTCAAGAAGCGTCCAGCTTTCGCCGGAATCAGAATCGCTATGGTCTGCTATTGATAGATCCATTTCTACAGTAAATAAACAAACAATTATGTTGACCGAGTCAATTAAAATATGGCTGAACTTCAAAAATTAATACTTTAATAAATCATCAAAAAGTATGTCTTAATAGTTACCTTAAGTCACAAAAGCGTTCAATAATACTTTGTTTAACTCTGTTATTTAATAGTCGATAATACTTTGCTGGTTTAACTGGAATTTTTATTAAATACACATTTCTAATCAGAGCGACATTTTTATTTACATTTTGTTCTACCAATTTTGTTTTTTTTAAAGAGATTTTATGACTTGGTAACTAAGACCTTTAGGTCAAGTCTTATTTTAATTTATATTCTTAATTTTATGAAAAATGATAATATGAAATGAAATGAAATAAAATGAAGATGATTGAGACATTAATCAACTGGAATAAAATTAAATGAAATGAGAAAAGAGAAAAGTCTCGTATGATGAGCACGAGACTATCTGGCACTCCCATAATGTACAGTTTATAAATTAAACCGTTGTGCCAGACTTTGCGATATCGAAGAAAAGGGCTCCGATTGGGACGGGTCTGCGTCTGTTTAGCCCTACTAGGATGTGCGCCGTGAGGAAGCTCTTGGCTCTAGGCTCTTGCTGAACGCATTAATGTTTAGCGTTATTGCGTAATGATTATTAGCGAAGAGAGTAACATTTTTAAAACGCGATTATGGATTCCGTCGGAGCTAAAGCTTTCCGTGCTTGTAACTTCGCGATTTCTTCCTTGACTTCGTAATGGGAGATAACGCGTTCGAGGGTGGCAGGAAAGCTCTGCTTGACTTCCCTGTCGACTAACTCGGTGTGTTCTTTTATTTTAACAGGGGAGCAAAATGACCCTATTCAAATTTGCAACGTTTTCATACAACTGTTCTTCTAACATTTACTACTAGCTTTGACAGCTAGCAAATAGCTCCTGGTTGATCGTTGTAGTCCATAGAAAAATTACATTCCTAATTCATTTGTAATCTATTTATTTCATTATCACACTGACTAACATTGAAAGAAATCGATTTTACTATCTTATGAAGTTATGTGGAGTTTCTCACTCTTTGGCGGGAATGCGAGCAGAGAAGTGCAAATTATTTTATTTTACTAATGAAATCTTTCTTCTATTCTATTCCGTTCGTTTTCAGTGTGTTTAAAAACAAAACATAAGTAGTACTTCTACATTTCAACATATTTGTAATAATTAGTATAAAAACTTGCCTTACGAGAACGTGTTATCAAACAAGTAGAATCTTATGAATCGCATGCTGTAATTGAAGCTACCTCTCGTAATTAACATTTGAGTAATAAAAGAATTTACACCGTAAATTCAATCAGATGAACGGTACACAAAGGCATACAAATAGGAAACTGAATAACTTTAATTTAATTAATGTATTATTTACATTTAAGGTTCTCTTTATGTTCCTAATGCGTAGTCTCAGGTTGAGTGGCCATATTGTTGTCTGTCTGGTTTTAATTTCCTGAAAGTAAACTACGCACCATCGCGTGATTCTTCTACTTGCTTAATGCAAACAAAAATAAAACACTGGCTACCATTAACTTTTTATTTTTTATAAATCATTATTGAATTTGCGTATATCAGGATCACCAATAGCGTATTGCTTGTCACACGTAAATGATATTGTTACGGCATAACGAGTCCCGGACGTTACTTTTTCAACATAGTGTAAATTTTCTTTGCCGCTAGTGAACATGCTGACGCGTCCTTTCCTGGGTTCGATAGTTCTGTTATATTTTTCGTCAATGAACACAAACCTTCCACCTTTAAAGTCAATATTGTAGTCAGTTAAGTATAAAAGCGTGGTATAGTGGAATGATTTGTAGGTTTCCTGTAAAATAAAATATAAATTAAATAAATTCAAATAAAATCAGTGTGCTTTAATGAGAGTTTTTAACGTTCTCTATAGCGTAAAAGTTACCTCATTTTTGTATGCAGTTTGAACAGCGCCCCTAGCGGCAAACGTAGGCAAACGATCGTATTCCATACAAATATGAGCTAACTTTTACGCTATCGAGAACGATAAAAAAACTCTCACTAAGCACACAAGTCGTCGTGGCCTAAAGGCGCTCTGTATACTCGCATTAAAGCGACGCCGACGTGACTATGCTGGTGTTCAAATCCAGCCGATAGATACCCGTTTTTCTAATGAAGTTCGTACTTTAAATATATTATGTTCAATAAAAATCGAACCCGAAACCGAAAAAAATCCCTACCTATTCCTTGGTAGCCTAAGAAGCTATTCCAGCTACGCGCGGACGGGTAGGTAGGTGAGCTCACAGACTCAACCTGAGAAATTTCTAACACTAGCCCTAGCAAGAGCAGTGCTTCGCAGAATCTACTTCCGAATCGGAATCGCGCCCAATAGAGATGATCCGGCGAAACACTCAATTGAATAGGCTTTGCATAATTAACACGTTGACTGACGAATTTTAGATTCTTTGCCCAGGGCCTAATATTACCCATCCTGGTTTTAGGATTAAATTAGCAATGTAGGTATCTAATGCAATGCTCCGATAATTATTGTATTACAATAAATTGCATTGAAGAGCAGACCTTATCATTAATTTAAAAAAAAAAATACCGGGAAAAGCACGACTCATATCAAGCGATTTTGTAAGGGATGTTACTAAAAAATTCAAAGCAACTATGAAGAACTGGTATACTACTAAAAAGTGGTAAAATATCGTTCTGTTTGCGTTAATTCAGTTCAATCTAACTCATTCCGGTCATCGTCCTTCCAATAGTAAATTAACCCTCAGACAGAGCCCACTGAGTTTCTCGCCGGATCTTTTCAGTGGGTCGTGTTTCCGATCCGGTGGTTGATTTTGCGTAGCACGGCTCTTGCTAGGGTTCGTGTTAGCAACGTCGTCAGGTTTGAGCCCCGTGAGCTCACCTACTAGTTAAGATTACGCTGAAATAGCCTCTTAAGGCTCTCAGATTAGGTAGGATAAAAAAAAAAACTGACTCACTGCAATAGATACTGGATACGTGATTATGTATAATGTTAATAGTTAATGTGTTTATTAAAAAAATTTATCTAATTATGAACTTTTATTATTTGTTGAATCGCGCCGGTCACTGGTGGCCAATATGAAGCTACCGCCAAGTCGAGTGACAATTACCGATGCCTCCACCCACGGCAGTCAACGTGTTAAATGTACAATTGAGACATAAGACCCCAATTCTAAACGTACATGGCGATATTCACGGTGGGATGTCTCGGTAACCACTTAACACCAGCTAGGTCGTGAGTTCGTTCAACCCCAATAAAAAAATATATATTCATGATAGATTACAAGACTGAGGAGTAATATTTTAAGTTTTGTAAATTCTCATGAATGGGATGGTTCTGTAAAAGAAACTCAATCCATCCAATATATCTCCGATATTAGAGATATGATAGCCGGATCTATGATTTCAACTCTTCAAACTGGACATTTCAAAGGCACTAATAGTTTCCATTCGACCATTTTTAGGCTGAAATACCTGTTCTCCAGAACAGTTTCAAGATACAAACACTTACGATTTGTAATTGTATCTTTTGAGTAAAACCGGATTAATTATTTATCCCAATCTTCTTAACAAGTTTAAAAGTTGCTTATAGCTAAATAGGTAAGCACTGGCATTCTTATGTACCTAGGTAAAAAGATATTTCAGCAAATTCAAACACTGACCTATTTTGACGTTTTCAACATTGCAAACAATATTTATCGCGAATTAGTGAAAAATTATCGTAGATTTGTCAGTATTTGTTAACGTTTAAGATTAATATTATCGTTAATTGATTAACATTAATCATTAGTTACGTTTCACACCAAATTATTCGATATGTAGCGTTGTAAGCACACATAAGCGTAGAGGTGTACTCTTCGTATATATTTGATTGGTGGTAGGGCTTCTTGCACTATACTCTATTCCAATTAGAAATCTCTTTTGACAATTCTTAGAACGTACCTAACTCTTCACGTTTCGAATCATTTCAAATAATAATCATTTTTTGTTCATGGTCGTAAACATCATTTAAAAATACTCAATCAATCTAAATCATTATAGAATTAATTCACACACACACTAACATAATAATAACATCTGTCTCCTGAGAGTTCGTAATTGGAATAGAGTTTAATAGTTACCACCACTCTACCCTTTTGAAATCGTCGTGGTCTAAACCGGTGCATTCGTGTTGAAGCGATGCGCCGATGTTCGAATTTTAGGCGGGTACCAATTTTTCTAATGAAATACGTACTCAACAAATGTTCACGATTGACTTCCACGGTGAAGAAATAACATCGTGTAATAAAAATGAAAAACCCGCAAAAATTATAATTTGCGTAATTACTGGTGGTAGGACCTCTTGTGAGTCCGCGCGGGTATGTACCCACCCCCCTGCCTATTTCTGTCGTGAAGCAATAATGTGTTTCGGTCTGAAGGCCCCACCCTTGGTTTTGGTTTCAAGGATGGGGCAGCCGTTGTAACTATACTGAGATCTTAGAACTTATATCTCAAGGTGGGAGGCGCATTTACGTTGTAGATGTCTATGGGCTCCATGAGATCCATTTTAAGACATGAGGTCTAAAGGACTACTGTATTGTATCAGTTGTCCCAGACATCACCAACTAGAACGCCCGGTTGCTTCTCGGCAGAAATAGAGAAGATGGTGGTACAAACCATTTTTGGTAGATAATACATCAGTAAATGCCGGTTTGCGATCGCAGTGCGCTGGTATAAAACTCGGAGAACGCTGCTATCCATTCTCTGGTGAATCTCTTATCGCCTCTTACAACACCCACGAGAAGAGAGGGAGTGGTGTAATTTTAGATAGATACAGCCAAAAGTAAAAAATATTTTAGTCTCTTACTTTATCCACGTGAGGATGCCAGTACTCATCATGAACTGTTACAGCTTCCTTTGATGTTATCTCTGAGAAAAAAGTTGGATGTGTCAAATATATTTTTTCTGGGTTAACTCCGAAATAATGCCCTATAGAATACTTTATTTTGTCTTTGACAACCTGTAATGTAATAAAAGGAAAAATATTAGTAAAAAATTTTTTTTTAAATTTTAAATTGCAAAAAAAACATTCTTTTTCACATTTCTTAGTTAAATTGACAGGTTGTGAAATTCATAAAGTAATTTTTTGGATGGCTTTTGGCTCGAATGCCTTCGAAGTTCAATAGGGGGCGGGTGAACGAGTAGGTATCGAGTTAAGCCCCTGAGAGGCTGGGAATGGAAGTTAAATAAAAAATAATAATACACATATAATATTATTTATCATATATAAAAATATATATTTAAAAAAGGGATAATAATCTTATATAATTTTAAACCAGTCTCTGTAATTATACACTCTTTATCTAACGGGTTCTTGATACGTTAATTAAATGAGTTCCCTATATTTCGGCATTGTGTCAACCGCCGTGATGACGATCTAGAATACCCGTTTAATAATAGTGCATGCAACGTACATAGCCACAAAAATTTAAAACTTACTTTGTAAGTTGTAAAATCCTTTTCCGTGAATACATTTCTTCCCTCGGATCTTTTATAAAAATTGATGAAATGTTGTCCCATTGACAAAGCCCCACTGTGCAGATCAAGAATAGAGGCTCCCCCAGAGGAACCTCCATATTTTAGACCCTTTTTTGCAATCATGAGTAGTTCGTCGGCTTCTTTATCTGTAATCACTTTATCAGTGACGAATCTCTTGCACTGCTTCGGGAAACATCCCTCGAATTTATCAATTTCCCTCAGATACGCAGATGAACATTCAACTATCTGGCCCTTACCAGATATTACTTCGTTTTGTTTGGCAAATATCTTAAAAGCTCCATCGTTTGACGTAAAATAAACTATAATAAGTAGTGAAAATATTACTACTGCACGAGAGAATACTCTGAGCGGAATATTGCTTTTTGGGGATCTGAAAATTATAATGATTTAGTTTATCTAATGTAATGGCGTCGCTCGGTGGAGCAAACTGCCCAAGACCGATGTAAAAGGAAAAATTTTATTCGAGCCCTACACCCCAACAGAGGGTAATAGGAAATAATGATGATGATGATGAATGTAATTATAACGTACAATATAGAGGGGGTGAAATGTTATTTGGTTTAAGCGACATTTTTCCAACTTTACAAGAGAGCCATTCAGAGTTTACAATTTGGTGAAAATATCATAAACAAACTTCTTCAGCTATGAATGGGGGAAGCTTCCAATTGAAGTTCAATTAAACACACGAAATTAAAAATAAAACGGATCTTTAATTAGAAAATGTCGCGTATTAAATGAAATGTCGCATAAACCTTTCACCTTTCACCCCTCGAATTATTATGATGATTGTCTTGATATCAGACAATCAAAGGCGAGAACCACACTCCCGGACATATTTAGAAGACTTAAAAAACATTTTTTTTCTTCTCCTGTTTTGATTATACTAATCAAGTGTATTTATGTTTGTGTTTTGATTATACTAATCAAAACACAAACATAAATACACTTAGAAAAAAAAAATTTGGGAATGATTTTATCTACTATGTCTATTCTTACGTTCTTTCATACGCGAAATATTTCGTTATCTTCCCATTTTAAACTTAAGCTTTGTTCCCATCGTTTACTTTAAAAAAAAATATACATATTTCATATTACAATGCCACGTAAATTTCTAGAGCTATTACTTGTCTCCAAACATATAGCCCAAACATTATCTGTATCTAAATCTGGCTTACACCAAGTTGTCAAAAGGTAAAAAAAAAAGAAGGTAAAAGCAGACAGTTAAAAAAGTCCCTGTGCAGAGAAATAAATAATAAACTGTATTTGAGCAGAATTAATTTATAGTTGTCTGCTAGAGTTCTTTGCCTTGAAGTTCAGGTTAATTTTGGTCACCAACACAATAATTACACAATGTATACTCTCAATAATTTATTGAGCCTTTGCACTCGATTGGTGATGGTCACCGCTTATTTAGATTAGCGAGATTCACCTCTTTATTATAAAGGGTTAATAAATTTTCAAGAGCTATTGATATGTGAAGAATTTCCTATTAATCGCATTATATAGTGATAGCTCTAAGTTTTCTTCAGTGTTAAAAGCTACCAGAATCATTTCATNGGAATGTATACTCTCAATAATTTATTGAGCCTTTGCACTCGATTGGTGATGGTCACCGCTTATTTAGATTAGCGAGATTCACCTCTTTATTATAAAGGGTTAATAAATTTTCAAGAGCTATTGATATGTGAAGAATTTCCTATTAATCGCATTATATAGTGATAGCTCTAAGTTTTCTTCAGTGTTAAAAGCTACCAGAATCATTTCATTTTAAGATTCTGTAGTCTCAGAATAGACTATTCACAAATATAACAGCATACTGAATGCTTTAGAAGACTGTTTAGCTACTGCAATGCATTAAGCTTGTTTGCTAAAGAATGAGTGGTTTGCTTCTATGCAAGTACACAGTGGACAACATCAGGAGTGCAGGCACTTTTAATCAACACAGTGTTAATTGCATTTGGCAAAAAGAAATACTTTTGGTACTTTAACCACTATTAACATAATGAAGGTACATTCTGATGAACAAAAACCTTCAAATTGAAATTAATTTTTATTATTGATTGTATTTATTATTTTGAACTCTCCATTTATTATAATTTTTTTTTGTTGGTGAAAGGAAATATATTTAATCACAAAACAATCTTGGCATCCATCTTCATTCCATGTCCTGAAATTTTCTGTCATCTCTTGACATATTTTACATTTCTATGAAAAATAATACTTTTGTTTTTGAGAGAAAAAACTTACACTGTCTTGGTTTCACCTTCTTTGGTTTTATCTTTATCACTAATACTGTTATTTGGAATGTTTTTTGTCTTTCTTTTTCTTGTTTCACTCATTGCACCTTTTCTCTATTTTATTATTTTACTATTTCTGTGTTACTTTATTATTTGTACCGTTATAATTTTTTAGTGAGTGTATTATTTTATAATAAAATAATTTGTAAGCGTGTGCTACTAATCCTTTTTCATATATAATTAAATGTTTTCGTCGAAAACGCTCTTCCTATAGCCTGCATCAGCAAAAACCTCCTTAATTATTCTAGTTTAAATTCATTTTTTTTATGCTCGCGAATACCACCTCTATGTTCATAGAATTTAAGAAGACTGCTAAAAATTCTAAAAAATAAAAATACGCTATCTGCATCAACTAGTGTTGGGAGCAACAATCAGAACTCGGAATATTAGCAAAAACGAAAAAAAATATCGAATAATAATGTTAAGATAATTATAGTTAGGTGGCGTGTGTACTGGCTGGGACGCCGCCTTGGGTTCTGGAAGCGGAGGCGCTCGCCGCTGACTATCAGTGGCGGGCTGACCTTCGTGCACGGGGCGTGGCACGTCCCAGCCCCAGTGTGGTCAGAGCGCGGAGGGCCCAATCTCGGCGGTCCGTGCTGGAGTCATGGTCCAGACGGCTGGCCGATCCTTCGGCTGGTCGTAGGACCGTCGAGGCGATTCGCCCGGTTCTTGTGAATTGGGTGAATCGTGACAGAGGACGCCTCACTTTCCGGCTCACGCAGGTGCTCACTGGGCATGGTTGCTTCGGTGAGTTCCTGCACCGGATCGGAGCCGAGCTGACGGCAGAGTGCCATCATTGTGGTTGCGACTTGGACACGGCGGAGCACACGCTCGTCGCCTGCCCCGCATGGGAGGGGTGGCGCCGTGTCCTTGTCGCAAAAATAGGAAACGACTTGTCGTTGCCGAGTGTTGTGGCATCAATGCTCGGTGACGACGAGTCGTGGAAGGCGATGCTCGACTTCTGCGAGTGCACCATCTCGCAGAAGGAGGCGGCGGGGCGCGTGAGAGACGCACAGGCCCG